ATGTCACATTACATATCCCGAGCTAATACGTGTATATTAGCTATTCTTATTTTTCAGCTAAATGTTGATTCAATGGAAACTAACGTGACGTAATCATTCTTCTATAGATAATTATTATTACCTATATTTCGTCTACACCATAGATACATACAAATCACCTCGGAGTAAATCTTTGGAAGGTAATCAATATGTGATCATGAATGATAGGTATTCCACTAATTTCGGCACATATGCCATCTAATATACCTTCGTAAAGGTGCACTAATTTGTCAGCTGAAAATCTTTTATTCATAAAATGGCGTATTTCGTTAAGTGAGTGAAATTCTTGGAGCCAACCAACAAAAAGGTGTAACTTCATCAGGAAGCATGCGTGGGAATCTTTTAACACAAAAATTATTCAATTACGATGCATGTGACTGACTGAGATTCACGGCTTGACTTGATATTCAAGCTACTTGACTTGACTTGACTTGAAATCAAGTCAAGTTCAAGTCAAGCGAAAGTTTTTTAATGTCAAGTCAAGTCAAGTAATTATTCATCAAGTACTTGAAAAATCAAGTAGTTCTATCAAGCTACTTGATTTTCAGCAGTTTTATTGTGTATCTACAGCGTGACTCACGGTCGATGTTATAGGTTAGACGTTTATGGAGAACGCAACGCGGGATTTTTCTGAAAATTTCGCATACACAAAAAACTCCTGAAGTTGAAAAATCTCGATTTTTCGCACTCTATATCTCCATAATCATTTCCGCTATACCCCGAGTGTGATGTATCGATGAAATCAACTCGTCAAGGAGAATCTGAAAATGCAATAAAATACAGGGTGTTCAATTCGAAATAACAAAGTGGTTCCTACTTTTCTATAGAAGCGGCAACGTCGTGATTTTGAAAATATATTAGATCGATAGTACCGGTGATGAAATGTGAGATGCGAAATTTTCAGAAAAATCCTGCGTTGCGTTCCTATCATAAACGTGAACGTCTAACCTACCATCGACCGTGAGTCACCCTGTATATAACTGATGAAATGAAAATGGCATCGTAAGACTGACTGCGCGATCGTTTCAGTCAGCTCGGATCTCGGGGAACCCCCGTATTTTGTCTAAGCGTGAACGAGCTTGCAGAAATATACGCCGTGCGACTCGTGCGTATCAAGATCAAGTATTATCAAGTAGCTTGATTTCAAGTCAAGTAATAAATATCTCAAATTCAAGTCAAGTCAAGTACGTAATTTGCCACGAGCTTGATTTTTAAGTCAAGTCAAGTAGTTTGTAAAAATATCAAGCTACTTGACTTGATGAATCTCTGGTGACTGACTCTAATTTGTTGGTATGGCACTCCACCAATCTGAGGATGTACAGTATCTGTGTATAGTGAAAACATTCCATGATGGTGACAGTTTCACTAGCTCTATTTTTAGAAAATTCTCGACACACTTCATTGTTGAAATAGTTTTTCTAATCGAGGAGTGTTTCGGTTTATCCTGCACCATTGCCAAACAAAAACAAATAAAGCGAAATGAGGAAAATGTCCTCTGCTATTTTCGTTGCGTGTGTTTGTTTTTCCTTTATTTACTTTTCTGTCAATCTCTCAACTGGCCTAGGGACATATTTCACTTGAGGGGACTGAGACAGTGGCGTATCTGGCTACTCACTCTGGGGGGGGTAATCCAATTTAGGAAAAGGTAGGTAGGTACAACAGAAAAAATAGAATTTTCCTGAACTTATATTATAAAAAAGTATAAAACAAACATCAACATGAAATAAAACAAAACAGATCACAATAAAAAAGGAACATCATGTAAATAATGACTAGGTATACACATACCTAAACCTAATGATGAGTATCATTGAGAATAAAAATAAACAAAACATCCACTAAATATGGAGTAATTTATTTAGAGTTGTAGTTTTATTTCTTCCGCCATATTTGGCAAAAATTGCGCAATATTTGCATATAACTCCATTAAGTGAAGCTGAATAAGCTAACCAGTTGAAACTGTCAAAATGTTTTTTAGACAAGTAGCATTTAATTACTTTCTGTTTTTTTACGTGCGTTGAAAATGGATTAACAAAATTTTTATCGGGCACAAAGGCATATTTTAGAAGCTTATATTTCTGTTCATCTGATAGTGTTTGAATCATGAAAATACCTAAATCTAAATCCGACCCTTGCAAATTCTCATCTAACACTAAAGAATTAGCACCATGACAACCTTGTGAGCTTTCAGTATCTGAATGTGCCTCAACGTGACCGCTACTGCTGCTGCAAATAGTGCTACTGGAATTGCTAGCAATTATCTCTAACTCTGAGGTCGGCGACTTATGTTCATTCATTGCGGGTGATATTTTCGATTTTGATATCAGGAACGAGTCCAAGGTATTTTTTCTCTTACTCATTATGAATTGTTGGTGCAGGATATGCTCATGCTCATACGGAACTAGAAATAACTGAAAAAGTAATATAATAAATAATATACCTATATTTGTTTATACTTTACATCACGAGTGTTTGCAGTGTGGGCTCTTATGAGTTGCTACAGCAACACATAGTAAACAAGCCATAAGATATCTGCAAAGTCCGGTGATATAACGTATATGTCACAAAAGTCAAAAGGTCAGTACCCACACCTACCTAATAAAAACTAAAATATAAAATAGTTTATTTCAGTTTACCTATTTCTCATTCGCTGGTGCCGGTACACACAATATTATAAGGCTGACTTATTTAATCAATCAGAACATTAAGATTGAAAGAACAGAAGAAAAGTCATTACTCAGGCCTTCATTAACCAACGGACGGACGGCTACTGCCGGAGCCGGAGTGCCGCTAGTGGCCACTGCACTGACTGACGGTGACTACACACACGTTACACGTTACGTTAAGGACAGAGATAAGTTGAATACTCAAAGCTAATGGGTAACCTATGTCTGGTCAAAGATAAATATATTTAAATAAATCAGATGTTGCGCGCGGTGTTCGACGAGTAGGGTAGGTAATACCACCCGTATCTGTGTCCTGGTTATGAATTTATTAAAACGATAACCACAACTTTTTTTTTTAATATTTTTTGAGAATTAATGAGAGGCTCTGGGGGGGGTAATTACCCCCTTTACCCCCCCCTCAAATACGCGCCTGGACTGAGAACTAGGAATATTGTGACTATTCGAAGCAATAAATAAACAGCAACTGTAGGTGGACTGGAGCAATCATTTTCAAAAAAGTGATTGCTCGATGGATGATATTGACGAGTCGAACAAAAAGATCGAATCTGTAGTAGAAGTCCATGATAACTCGAAATGGAGTAAATTGATGAAGTAGTATACTAATACTCTCAGTCATCTCCACAATCATTTAATCAAAAATCTGTTTCTGAGTTCGGAGATTCATCAACTTCAATAAGATCGACTTTATTCATTGGAAATTACGAAAAGAAGGTATGCTATCGTAAGCTCACGAACGTTTCTTTCAGTATATATACTTGGATTTTATTCAACTATAATTGAAGGACAATTATTGATAAAATCGTATTCGTTATATTGACTAACTGACTGACTGACTGACTGACTGAATGATTGTAGATGATTGTATTAAGTCAAAAATAAACCAAGTGACACCATAATTGTAGATGATTGTATTAAGTCAAAAATAAACCAAGTGACACCAAGAGATTATCAAAATTGAGTTTTATTCTTGATTCATCACTTTATACACATACTACATTTGTGATAATGCCCGTTCTAGTTCACTCGTATGTCCCCTCAGTTTGATTGCAGGAGCTTACAACAACCATGGAAGTATTGAAAAATTGTCAGATGATCCAAATAGTAGTCGTTTGTCAAAATGTATCAAATTTATTGGACATTTTGTTCACGAGCATCTCAATAACGCATCATTCTTGGGAACTGGGCTATAGGGGCTAGTGGTGAGCTATTGATCTCGTGAGCTTAAACTAATTTTTTCAATTCATAATACGTCTTAAGTTTCGTATCGTTGAACGGAGATAGTTCCACTCTACACGATTCACCGTTGTTTTTCAATTGACATTGCTGCTTCTAAAGAGGCGTATGGCGTAAGTAACAATTGATATACAGAACAAAATGAATAGGAAGAAATAATGATGTGGTTGCGAGTATCAGAGCAGGAGTAAGACGGTGTTTGTAGGTATGTTGGTGTGGAAAACTACCACCTGAGCTTGAGAATATGCCACTAAGAGGTGCTCTAACGGGCTCTAATTCGAAGAGCTTCCTATATACAATCAATTCCAAGTGGCGAGCAGTTCAATATGAATATACATATTATGTTAATGCTCAGTTTATTAAAAATATTCTAACATAATCTTGAAGTTATAAAGCCGCATATATTCATGAATTATTGTTGGATTAGCTGTGCCTATCTCATCTTCTTTATACATTCCGTGCACGTATGTTCTTATGTGGGTTTTATCTCGAATTTTATTGTTAACTCTTTGTTCGTGCTTAGTCTAGACCCTATCAATAAAGATTTTGCATTCATTATGTATTTTATTGTCTGCTATCTCTGACCACTGGAAATAGGTAATATTTATTTTCGACTACCCACCACAGTGAAAAAATGATTTTGAATTTATGAGAAACCAATAAACAAGATGTGAGGGTAAACCAAGTGAAATCGAAAAGTCATAGTACCAAATAACGTTTTTATGACTATCGGTACTGCTTCAAGCAACAAATTCTGTGAAGAAAATTCTTTGATAAAATAATCAAAATTTCACGAAGATTGAAAATGTGAGAAACATATTTGTAATGATTGTATAATGATCAGATTCTCCCTGCTGTATCATTACCCATATTTCCGAATGGGTTTCGGAATCATGACAACATACTGAGAGATCAGTAATGGAACAGATCAATTAACACCCTGCATGTGGATGAAAAATAACGAAGAAATCTGTTGAAAGTTCCTAACCTTCGATTATAAGCTCATCTAATTTACACTGAAATATTTTTTTTGGTAGGTACCTGCATGAATGTTGTGAAATGGCCATTGGTTTTGACTTTGGTTCTTGGTTGCATTTTTTCCGATTTGTCGATACTGAACTGTGTTTCTCCATAAAGTGTTATTTCTGATCCTCTGAGTCCATTACAGCCCAAGTCATGCGTCATTGATCCCCCTGAAACAAAAAGAACATTCTTATACCTGGATGCAAAAAAAACACTTGTTGGTGGTATGTAAATCAATTATAAACTGACTGAACACTATGTATATACGCCAGAGAAGAGTGAATCTTCAGTGACCTTGAGCGTAGTGTTCATACGGATAATATTGTATTTATATGCCCCTATATATTGAGTGTATATAATAACAATTGTCAAATCTATAGATGCAACAACTTCATGCAACATAAAAATGGGGGTGAATATGTGACCTACAGTCCTATACAGATTTTTTTCAGGTATTGTGGTAATTTGAAGGTGTTTTTCAATTTTGAGGAACTGCATGATCTATCTGGAGATTAGGTGTCATCGCCAATTCAAACTGTAAGAATTACTTCGACAGTGTATTCTTTGAAGCGAAAACTGCTCACTTATTATGTATAGTGAAGAAAAAGAAGAACATAGCCAAAAATTTATATTACTTACTTGCCGTGAAACAAGTTCAATTAATTTTTGAAATTCGTTCCCCAAAAGAAAATATAATTGTCCCACTTTGAGCACTAAATTATTTATAACAAATATTTCGAAAGATGCTAAGAAGTCAGCTGATCTTTCATTTATATTTCGGGAATGTTGTGGATGGCAACCTAGCTTTGATTATTTAAACGTTTTTAGTTATCTCTAAATATTTTCGTTTATTTTGTTTCTATTATTGTATCGATAAATTTCAACCTGTATGGTACCGACATAAATATGCTAGGCACTCCGCTATATTATGTCAAAACTCAACAACTTGAAAATCTCTCTCTCTGCGAGTTCTACGCAGGAAGGATTCAAACTGTCATTTATGACATCGAATTATATCTTGGTTACGATTGGTGTTCTGGAATATGAGCAAGAGCGAGTGAGATATATGACAGATCCCAAATGCGCATGTTCCATAGGATCCAGTTCTCGAAAATGGATTAACTCGTGTCCTTGCTCATGCCATTAGCGGTCTAGATATTATATTAAGTCGGCGACCTCTAATGGACAAAAGAACCCAGTAGCCGATGAATCTAATTAGAGAAGATTATTCTTTCGTCAGGAATGGACTAGAGTCTAGCCATAGCACCATAGCGAGGTAATATTGCGCCTCGCTCGCTGCTCGCTGGGCGCGAGGAACTGAAAATTTCCGGCCGATCCTGAGAAGAAACATAATTGAAATAGCGAATCACTATCGGCCTAACCAATAAGTTCCTCCATAGTATTTTTTCGATTGATTACTTCGAAAAAAAAAATATAAAAAAAAGATTAGCTGGAGTAGGGATCGAACCCCAGTCTTTTCGTTCGGAGGAAGAAACACTATACTCTAATGACCACCACGCTTCTGGCAAACCAAACTACAAAACAATTATACACGCTCTTGACTTGCCACTGTGATAATATTTCCCGTATAGGTATTGTGGTGATATGGTTAGCATCATAACAATCAGGTGGAAGCTTCTCTGTGTGCGTTCACATACCAGAACAATGAAATGTATGGTATTTCGTATGGAAATAATGATTTTGCATTACCAGTACCATATAAAAGAGTACCCAAGCAATGGCCAGAAGTGGATTACGAATTTAGAAGATTAAAATTTGGGAGTGATGAATTCACATGATTCCTCGAGATTTTGAGTCATTAGTGACAAACATACGAACCTCTGAACATCTAACAGATGAATCCCTACAGGATTATAGAAGTTGAATTTATAAAATTTTCATATCTCTGATTTCTCAAACTAAATTGCGCTGAATGGGCACAAGCTCAGGAAGTTATCAATGACTGAAATGACGATAACGTGATAATGGCAAGCAATATTTGTCACTTCTCAGGCTATGAATAAAAGACGTCTCAATGAACTCTTATTTGAGTTCTCGATCGCGATTGAACCTAAGAATTAGGTCTTATTCCTTGACATGATATTGACGTATACTACTAGAGGGCAAAATGATGATAATACAAAGTCAACTAGTATGTCACTTACAGTTTGAAGGATGACATTTTCCTATTCTAGAGAATCGTTTTAAATTTACGATTCGGTTGCTTATTCGCAAAAAATAATCAAACTAAGTAATATTTTCATATTTGATATAGATATGTAAAAAATCTTATTTCATTATGTACCTATACATGACGTTGACATGACAGCATTGTGACGTACAAATGACGATAGATTTCATGACTTCATTTTGACGTCAAAATGACAAATCATATCATATATCATCATACCGTATGTTCTAGTAATTTTTATCATGACGTATAGGTAATTTGCGTGACGACGAAATAACATATCCTACAGCTAAATACCAGACATTTGATTTGATTTACATATAGAGGCATAACATAATACGTGCATGCATTGCTTCTGGAAACTGTGAGAAAGTTGGTAGTTTCGAAATGGAAGCTGGATGATAATGTCAACATGAAGGCATTTGTTGAATTTTATATTAATACCGCCGGGACTGCATGAACATTTTATAATGACAGGGTTTGATAATTTTCGAATATTTGTAGGTAAGTGCCAGGATATAAAAATATTTCATAAATTTTGTGAAGAAAGGTGAAAGGCTCTTATAGACCCATTCTCTTTTCGACAACATAACGCACCTTCACTGTCGAATTGGGATCATCCATTTACTCCCAACAGATACGATACAGACCGAATCGAACAATGAAAAATAAAAGGTTTCGCCTACAGCCACGAGGAGTGTATTTACTTAGCAAGGAACATGTATTTCGCCATTACTACGATCGCTCGAATTAAAATATTTATGGCTGTCAGTTTCTGATTTGTTGGAGTTGCAGGCGAAATTATAAGCCGTGATGTTAAATATGAAATATCGCTATTTTTTTCAGGTTGACTCGAATTAAGTTATTATTGTTATTAGAGAGCGTGCCCGATTGAAAATTGGCCTTGAGATTGTTTACATATCGACGCCAATTAATCTTTTGTGTTCTTGTGCACGCACCTTAGCTTTCCTTTTGAAATGCCGACCTATCTACACAACATTAACACTAGAACAATTAGTTTGAGAGAAAAATGATTCAATTTACGGAACAAAGTGACTATGAAAGAGTGTATCTAATTGGTTCTATCAAATTTGAACTCAATCCCAGAGCATTTTATTTGTCACAGCCAAATCACAACATCACACAGCCCAGGTAGCAGAGTGCCCTGAGAAGAAGTCATATTTGTCAATTTTCATCCGCCACGTCTTCGACCAAAATATGACCTGCATATTTTTTTTTATGTTCTGGTTTTCACGAAAAGGGATATCCTGTAATGTTCAGAGAACATCGTGAGAACCAAGGAGAATAAGGTAGAAATTGGTGTTCTTGAATTTATGGAGGTTATATGCCTCGGAGAACATCTCCTTTGGTAATGTGTTCCAGAGCCTCGCTGTTCGTTGGATGAACGAGTCTCTGGAAAGAGATGTTCTGCAGGTCTCCAAAGTGACCACGAAGGGGTGCGAGGCCTCAACTCGACGGGTTAATCTCGCGGGGACTGCCGAGGGAGGAACAATTGTTGATATTTCTGAAAAGCATCTTCCATGAAAATATCTATAAAATAAAGCCGTGCGAGGAATCACCCGCACGAGACGAATTGCCCTTTTTTGGACAGAATCCAACAGTTTCAGGGTATGCTTGGGTGCTGCACTCCAAATATGGGAACAGTATTCCAGGACAGGTCGGATCTGTGCTTTATAGATCATAAGCAGCTGACTGGAAGTGAAATAGCTCCTGGCTCGAAACAGAAAATCAAGTTTTTTGGATGCACTTTTAGCAATTGATCTCACGTGATTTTCCCAAGAAAGGTTATTGCTGATAGTAATACCAAGCATCGAAATGGATGTCTTCGAAGGTATGGTTACTCCTGACAAGCTTATGTTGGGCACAGTGAGATCGGCTTTTCTAGAGAAAAGGCATGCTTGTGTTTTGTTTGCATTGAAATCTACCAAGTTATTGAATCCCCATTCGAGAATTGTCGCCAAGTCCATTTTTATGTTGTCAGCATTTCTCCCTCGTTCATTTCTGATTTGCCGGTATGGAGGGTACTATCATCCGCGAAGCTGTGTACTGTATTGATGTTATGTTCATGACGTTACATTCACGTATGCTATTGGAAGTCTCAAAGATACAACATTATTCTGGTTTCAGTGAGCGGTATTCAATGAGCACGATTTCAAAGCTCAAAGTTTGATGGTTCATTATATCTGACCCATATTGCGATCAGTATTCGTGATAGTAATTTAGGTATCTGTATTTCCGAATTCGATTATTCAAGTATAGTCACCAATGCAGATCCACATTATATAGGCTATTAGTTGGAATACTATTGATGACGCGTTTCAAGCTCTGATTCCACGACACCTACACTAATAACAGTATATCTGTGTTCATTCAAAAGTAATCCACGACTTTATCTTGATCCAACGTCAAACTCAAGAAGATTAAAATATTGCCCAATCGTGAGATGATAGGAAGTGATTTTTAACAAATTGGTCAATGCTACCGATGTTTCCCATATAAACAACTCAAACGAATTCGGTGTCTGATATGAAAGGTGCTCGGTACACTACTCCTATCAATAACAAATTAGAAAGCAACCTTATCTAGAAGCTGTTCGGATGATCCAAACAAAATATCGATGTTAAAAATGGCGGTTGTGAAATATAAAGTTGTTTGAATAATGGTTCGTGGCAAGAAGAAATACGTTTCTAGTAAAACATTCTATTCATCAATAATAATCTTGATGGTATTGACCTTGCTTCACTGAAGAGTTCATACATGGATTATATCATGAATGAATACTAGAAAGCAAACATAAAGCTTATACGGTTTTTGATTAATTACCTGTAGTATGTTCATCTATACGTGTTCGCCATGCATGATTATAATAATCAAGATATTACCTATAGTTTCTTTCATATTCTGTAAACACCACAGAACTCCACGAAGTTCACTCTCAGAATTCATGTATAATAATTATTAATCATATTTATGGAATTACAAATTCGTTTGTTTATGTATGATCCTTTGTACAGGGTGTCTCCTTACCCGTACCTACTGCTTCAACTATACGAGGTGGAAAAAAACTTCAAATATGAAAGTTGTAGGGTTCCATCTGTACTATATCTTTTGGCACAGCTTAAATAAACAAATGCGAATCGCAGAATAGAAGAAGAGAGTCCAAATCAGTTTTTTCAAATGGAGCACCCTGGCCTGGAGCATGGCCAGCTCGGAGCCCATTGAGAGTTTCTGGGTCATTATTGGGACTAATGATGAATTTTTGGAAGATCTGGACCAACATGACATAAGGTCTCTTACTTTGTTTTTTTTTAATGTTCTGGTTCCCACGAAGGATATCCTGTAATGTTCAGAGAACTTCCTGCATGAGAACCAAGGAAAATAAGGTAGGAATTGGTGTTCTCAAATTTCTGGAGGTTATATGCCTCGGGGCCCTTGGCAATGTGTTCCAGAGCCTCGCTGTTCGTTGGATGAACGAGTCTTTGGAAAGAGATGTTCTGCAGGTTTCAAAAGTGACCACGAAGGGTTGCGGAGCTTCAACTCGACGAGTTAATTTCGCCGGGACAGCCAAGGGAGGAACAATTGTTGATATTTCAGAAGAACATCGTTCATGAAAATATGTATAAAATAAAGCCAGATCGCCAACTTTTCTACGGTGTTCCAGAGAAGTGAGTGAGTTTGTGAGCGAGGCATCACCCACGAGACGAATTGCCATTTCTTGGACCGAATCCAACAGTTTCAGGGTATGTTTGGGTGCTGCACTCCAAATATGAGAACAGTATTCCAGAACAGGTTGGATCTGTACCTTATAGATCATAAGCAGCTGACTGGTAGTGAAATAGCTCCTGGCCAGAAACAAAAACCAAGTTCTTGGGATGCACTCCTAGCAATTGATCTCACGTGATTTTCCCAAGAAAGGTTATTGCTAATAGTAATACCAAGCATCGAAATGGATATAGACCGTCTTGGCCAATCAATAGGAAATTTATGACGCACTTGAACAAAATATTATTTCATTCAACAATATGAATAGATAGTTGACGTTGAAGATTGAAGATATTTCAATGTTCAACAATCATTTCCTTGTTGAATCAATCAGATGTTTTATTTCTGTCCCATTTTGTGATGGTTATACAGCAGTCAGATATTGTTGAATACACGAAAATGTTTGTCAGTTGTTCGATGAATTGATGTCCATCATACGAAAACTTCCATACAACTTTTTACTTGGTGATGTGTTATCAAGAGTGTAATGACTCGGACTCGAAAATGCAAGAAATGCCTGTATACTAGCAGCTGTACGAATTCTAATGATATTCTAAATTTGGACCATAATCAAAAAGTTGATGACCAACAGTAGTGAAATAGGTGAAAAGTAATTACCCTTCTGATTACCCATTCGATCAACCAACAGTACCTGGTTCATACGCTTTTCGTCGTTCATCATCTGCCAAAAAATTTTTAGGATAGATCGTCAGGTAGCTTTGAAGGCATTAGTTAGACCATTGTCGATCTAGTAGTAGTAGTAGTAGTAGTAGTAGTAGTAGTAGTAGTAGTAGTAGTAGTAGTAGTAGTAGTAGTAGTATTGTGGGGAGGCTGAAGCCCCCCATGGGCCCTTTTTGCCAACCCCTGCTCTCCACATCCGTCTTTTAGTTGTCCTTTTCGAACCTTACCGTCCTTCTGATGAAGGTCAGGATGTCCGTCCACTCTAATTCGGCAAAATCCTCCTGTTGTCGATCTAAATGAAAACCTAGTAGGCGACCTAGTACGCGAAGAGGGACAATAAGTTCTTGCCTACTAACTACCTAACTAGGTTGTCATCTAGAACGACAATGGTTAGACACTTACCATTCTGAATTGTTGATCCATTCAAACCACACAGCGGACAAGCTTCGTTCGTGAACATGCAGGAATAACATCTCTCGTGGCCACAGTTGTCAATCAGTCGTCGTTTTTTACCTTTATCAAAGGGCATTTCGCAACTGGGACATATCGTACCGGCTGAATGTTCTTGGTCTAGTAGTCTCCTTATGGCTGCCAAATCTGAAAAAAAAAACTTGTTTCATTAAAATATTCAGGGAGAGAATGAAACAAAGACAGGTATTTCCTAAAACGGTTTTCCATTGTAACATTCTGGTGCATGGATTTTCAAGAAGTTATCATACCGAGTGACCCGGAACCAATTTACCCCCCTGCATCTTCGTTGCTATTTTGAATGGATGTTTCGAATTTGATAGATGAGTCATTGTCGATCTAAATGAAAACCTAGTAGGCGACCTAGTGCGAGGAGGTATAATAGGCTCCTGCCTACTAACTACCTAACTAGGTTGTCATCTAGAACGACAATGGATGAGTTAAATATGAAAAATTGAATTGGTCATACCGGAAGTGTCATGTTTGATGTGATACTAGGGAAATTATACACTCATGTATCAAATTTCAAACATCCATTCAGAATAGCAAAGAAGATACAAGGGGGTCAATTGGTTCTGGATCACGCGGGTAGAACTTATACGATCCACTATCAAAAATCTTGATTTCGGAAAAACATTATATTGCGATTTCTACTTATTGCCCTACAGTGAAGCGGCATAGCTGACAAATTTATAAAAATTGTGATTTTTCAGATAAAAGCATGGCATTTTTACCATTGTTAGGACATGATATAAACTCAGATTTGAGATATTTGGGCACTTCATATTCCATCTCTGAAGATTTTTCCAATTGAAATGTCACTTATTCTGACAGCGCTTCATGTCTTTCAATTACAATATCAACTATTTACAAAGAAGTGAAGATTTTAGGCAAAAAAAAACATTATATTATTATTAGTAAAATTTGTGCCAGTAGTGGAAAAGCTGATACATAAACCACGGAACAGAAAAATATTCCCGTCACTCTTCTAATTTTTCCTGGAGCTGAAGCATTCAACAATGCAGCTTGACTCAGGAAAATGTCTTCTGTGCCTTGGTATATGGTTGAGAATTATTTGACTGATTCAATTTTCTTGGCATGCCGTGAACATGAATATTTGATATATATTATTTTTCCAATTTTAAAAATTGCTGATCGATATTGTTTCATTTCGTATCTTGATGAGAGAAGATTGATTATGTCTGAGAAAGTTGTATGTAGGTACTCATAGACCCTTTGGCACCTTCAACATCGCAACAACAACAGTTGTATTACCTCCTGTGACAAGTTGGGGTTGAAGCAGAGTGGATGCTGGATGATGACTAATATAATTCGTTGTGGTCGCCAGAAGCCAGAAGGAATGCAAGCAAGGCTGTCAATGCAAGAAAAGCAATTTACCATGAACGGAACTATGCAATTGCGGAGGGGAAAGTTGTAGGGTTCCCTGAGGAATTTTCAATATTTTTATTTGGACATATTCAACAGTGGCGTACGATGAATAGAAATTTGGTTCTATTCTAATTGAGACTAAATGATATTTATCCTAGAAAAAATCAAAATCAACTATTATTTTTGTTATCAATACGTTTCAACAAATATTTTAGTTAAATTTAGGCTGTGTCTATTCATCGGGGCGCCCCGCCGTATAGGCAATTTTGCTATCCATCGGGGCGAGATGCGACTGGCGTTATGCGGCGCCGACTGAATGACTTCATCATACTTCATCTCGTAAGCAACTGATTGGCTCAGTAAGCAGAGCATCGGCATGCCAAGCCGGTGGGCCGGGGTTCGAATCCGTGCGAGGTTCATCTTTTTTTTATTTTTTTCTTGTTCTCAAGTGATTTCTAAAAAATATTCTCTATGGGAAATAGGTTCATTTAGGGGTTTTCTATGTTTAGGCCAGAGGTGAGGTTCGGTTAGGTTAGGTTAGAATAGAATATTTTATTTGGTGTTAATACAAGTACAGATATACTCATAAATAGTATATGTACCGCCGAAGCGAGTACATATACTGGAACGCTTTACGATTTTGCGTGTCATCCTTGCGCAGGGGCCATGCTAATCTTCTCTGTATCGTTCCAATTTTTAGTATATGTACCGCCTTCTCATTTTTTATGCAGAAACAATATTTTCCTTCCTCAAGAAAAATTCTCCTTCTTCAAGAAAAAAGGTTCATCTAGGTCGATTGATTGTTAAAAAAAAATTCCTTCCTTATATTAGACTCGCGCATCACGCCCCGATGGATAGCAAAATTGCCTATTCGGTGGGGCGCCCCGATGAATAGACACGGCCTTAAATTTATTGATAGTTTCGATTGATTTTCACAATAGAATAGAATCTAATACAAAAATATACGTATAATCAAATCACTACCAAATCTCATGCATGCGCAATATATGGCATTATGAAGTGCCCCAATTTCTCGAAATCAAGTTGATATCATGTTCTTACAATGGTGGAAATTTTAAACCTGTATCACAATCATTATGCTATCCCGCTTCACTACTATCAGACTATCGTGTTATGCTACTATTCTCGCTACTATTTGTTACCACTGATTAGTTTATTCATTTGTATTGTCTTCAATCTGACATAGATTAACGATTCCCTAATCTATTAATCTGATGACCATAAATACGTGCAGTGTTGGATTTTCGAGGCTTGTGTTGAAAGAATTGAAGGAACCTAAGCCTTTCTATTGAAGAACAAATCAAGGTCTACGACAGAGAATCACATGATCTCGTACAGGATACTGAAACGTGAGGTTCTGAGGAATATGCCACCTCAGAGCAAACTGAATAGTAGGTATACCTGATCAGCAAATATAAAGAATATGTTCGAATAATTATTCTAAGCTTTATCAAAATTATATAATTGGAAACTGAGGTAACTAACCAATACATATTCGAGGTCGGAGTAATTGAGAGACTGTTGTAGCCTGAAAGACCCATATAAAATGTACAACAATTTATCAGGTACCTTGATAACCTTTGATGTGAAAAACATTACAATCTCTCTTGTTTATAGGCTAACTAGAACCTTTTGTGATTTCATGAAGTAGGTAGGTCACTGGTGCATAAAAGTGAGATTTTCAATTGAACGAACCTGTTCCGAGCATTGTGACTCCTCATGAATTATGTAATAATAACGTAAAATCGCCTGAATTTCGACAGTACCGTGTGAAAGGTTATCAGTTCAAGGGAAAGCTGCATTCCACATATCCATTAAACATCTTTTATAACTAAAAATTGCGGATTCTGTGGAACAATTAATACACAAAGAGAATGCTATTAATGTGTGGCTTATAAACATCACTTATATTGAGACTTGAAATACTAACTTGTTGAAAGTTGAATGCATTTTTTCGACTTTCGCCCATGTGTCGGGAAAATATTTTTGATTAAAATTAATTGAAAAGGTCTACTTTTTGGTGAATTATAGAGTTGCTAACGAGATAACCAGTCTACCTCAGAGTTCTCGAGACATTATTTAACTGCAATAACGGTTCACTTATTGCGATTGCAGCGACTTGGAATAAATGAAGCCAACAGAACTGATTGAAATATTTTTTTGCAGAATACACTATTAATATAGTGGATGGCCGTTTCTGCAAATTAGTGTCATTAATTCTTGTAGTAAAACGCCTGATGAAGACATGGATGAAAATCATAGTAAACGTTTTTATATAGGTACACATGTATCCTTTGCAGTACGTAAATTACAAAATGCATAAAATACTTATTATTATAATTATTCCAAAGTACAGATTAGCATGACTATTCCACTCATTTCGACATACAAGTTTTTGATCGGTTGAAATATCTGTGTTGATATTCGAAAATATTATGTTCTTGATATTGTATTTCGGCAGTTGATTGTACACTGAAAACTTATATGCTCAAAGTCATCTTCACAACATTTATTTGACGATCAGAGATCAATCACATAGGGGTACATGTTTCGGGGTTATATAAGCTCATCTTCAGCCAATACAAGATTTTAGTTCTAGGAAAACAAACAATGACATAGTATATAGATATAATGAATACTTACTCACAGGGCAATGAAAAAGTTGAAAATTTGATATTTTAATTAATAAAATGGGGCAAGGCACAGACGTATGCACCATGATCTGGAGAACAATGGTTTAGATGGTGTAAGAAGGAAATAAATTGTTAACTTAGTGGGTATGATGAAATTGGTGTTTTTCATAAGAACATCAAGAAGTTTTTTTATTTCAAAAAATGGGTCGGGTTATTAATTTTATAAGGGTCCACGTGCCCTTGAATGGGCGTGTACACCTTAGTAGAACTTTTAACTCAAACCATGTTTATAATGATCCTCTTATATATTAATAATGATTGACGACAATTATTGAAATCCCCGAATTTTTGTTGAATTCAGAAAACAAATTGCTGCTTCAAGATGGCGGACAAGATTTGGTCCGATTTCCATTCAAAATTGGTAAGATGGCGGCTTCCAAATAATTTTTTGTTTTTGTATAAATGACGATTACTTCGTTGTTATCAACACAAAACTATTACTGCGACAAATCATCTGTAACAGAAAAAAAAGTTATTCGTAACTAAGTCATAGTGAGCTATGACCTACATTTGAAAAACTATAGTTGGTGCTGATATCTCAAATTCTAGAAGAGTTGGTATAAATTTCATATTTTTTTCGGAATCACTTCGAAAAACTGCCATGAGAATGTGAAATTCCTATTTGAATATTTTCATAAATGAAGAAGTTACGGAGGAGACGTGAAAATGATCAAAATTTGTTTTTTGCGTATAAAACAAAAACGAATAGATTTTTCCAAAATATTTTTTCACATTATAGTTGGCCTTGACAAACTTCACATTTGGTGTCATTTAACCGACCTCGTATCTCTCACCGTTAAAAAGATACCCATGGTGAGCAAGGTAAGTGGGACACACTGTATAGGAAAAGAAGCTCCCACCCATATAATAAGTATACAAGTTTATATATATATTTTCATCTTGAAATAATGCCTCCTTCAAGCTGTTGAAGCTTTGCTACAAGAAACTGACTCACTATCTTTGGAAGAAGTTGATGGTAACTCAAAATGGAGTGGTATAGTTCATAGATGAAAACCCAAAGTCCTC